GAGCCAAAGGGAGATGAGACCATATATATATAATATATGAGCATGGTGCAGTACATCCTACAGTGCATCTCCTGTGTGTTCGTGACAGTGGCTTCAAGGATATGTTATGCGCCAGTTGAAGGATGTATCGAGAGGGTTTTTCTCTGAGGGTTTTCATTTACACGAAAAATCAAAATTTGCCCAGTGACTGAAGAAAGTTATCCACCGAGCTTTGATCGGTATCGCTCACAACATTCATGGGAATCACAGTGCATGATTTCCTTTTTTAAATAATTTAAAGAATCTATTTTTTTTTTTTTTTTACATACCAATACGTAGGAAAAGCATACACGGGCTCAAAAACCACGTAATATAATGTAATCGTAATTCATGCCAGTTTATACAGAAGCTAACTCTAGCGAGATGTGTTATATAGCTTGGGATATTCGCACGGAGATAAGAACTTTGCACGGGGGAATATATAAAACAACTATCGTGCTTCTCCCTTGCGCCGTGCAGATCTGATGTTGTTGGATTATTGCGAGCACGCGTATAAATAATATAAATAATCCTTGGTTCCCCTCGAGTGCACGCGCGTGTGTCTCTCTAGGCGAGATTATATATTTTTTAATTGGCTTGCCATTGTTGATTTCCACTTCGTTTCCATTTCGTTTCGCGTCGATAAGACACGGCTCTCGATAAGGGAAATATTTGTTGGGGTCAGTCGCAAGGGATGCGAGTTCGATTATCTGTCAAGTTTGATCGATTTTCGCAAGGCCAAGCGCTCAGGAATGAGACTTTCTCGTCCAAGAAACGTGTTGGTTGGTATCCCTTATGTTTTTTCCTTACAACATAAGGTAAGCAAAAGTGACTCGCGAGGTATATACTGGTAATATCTTATAAAGTACAATTTTTTTTTTTTTTTTTTTTCTATCTTATCCTTTTTCTGCTTCTCACGCTCTATCGCAACAACCACCAGCAGCACATGTCCACGCGCACAACACACCCCTACGTCAAATTGCCCCGCACCCACGGCTCCTCCTCATCTGCTCCTTTTTTATTTGGCTCTTTGCAAAAACTGAGCAGCTTCTCGTCCTTGACTTCTCATGAAGGCTTNAAAAAAAAAAAAAAAAAAAAAAAAAAAAAAAACTTTTCGCCCATCATCGCGGTACCGGTGAGGCACATCTTGTTCAAATCCGCGCGGTTTATCGTAGTAGGTACAGGTAGAAAAGTTCTCGGCGCACATCAGAAAGTAATGAAAATCTCAAGCGCGAATCCAGGCACCTCCGAAACAAGGCTCCGCGGCAGCGAGAAAATCTGACGGCGCAATCGCGATCCTCGTGTCACTCTCCTCGGCGCAGAGCTACTCCTTCGACTAGTGTGCGCGCGTATACACAACCTGTACAACACACATTTTCCTCGTTCGGGGGCTCCGATCGATACCCAGATTTCCGCGAGTCTTTGGAAACGACCCGCGCGCGCTACTCCTTCGCTGTGGGTGCATATACGTATCGGAGATCGCGCGGTGTAAATAGCCGCGGGGGAGGCGCTTTTTTTCCCTTTCCTTTTCGATCCTTGTCGAGACGGCTTTTTTTTTTTTTCCTTTACAAAATATCGTACGCTGGTGCGAATGCGTAGCGAAATAGCCACACGCGCGCTAGAGAGATTGTCGATTTCCTCGCGATCGGTTGCCACGAGTTTGTGTGGTTTTCCGAGGTGACGCGGGTTCGAAGCGTTTAAGGAATTGTAATTTTTTTGTTTCACTTGCTTAAGCGTATGGTATGAAAATTTATTTTATCTTACCCTCAAGCCTAATTTTTTTCTTTGGTAAAATATTTACAATGTTTATAAAAAATTCACGTATGATACGCTAGTTGTTTAAGAAACATTGTACAGCAAACAACATAAATTTAACTTGAGGCGTTTTTTTTTTTTTTTTTTTCAATGATTCATTCAAAAATCCGTGCACGACTGCCCATTCATTATGTTTATCAATCGTGGATTTATAATGATATGATGAAACGTGTTTTGTTCTCTTGAAAAAATTTTATATCACCGACTACTTTGTTACACACAATACGACACAATATGACCCTACGTTTAGCTCTAGTGATCTAATTATTTTATAAACGAATTCGATAAATCACGGCATAAAAAACGAAACCTAATCGCTTTTGTTTGGACATTTCATTGATGCCACATGCATCACGATTAATCAATGAACGAGTTGATTGATAAAATGAAAAAAAAAGAGAGGCAAGAGACAATATCCGTTTGAATGAAATGAAGAAGGAACAAAATTAAATGTTATTGATAATTGATAGCGAGTATCGTACAAACGTTATCCCAATTGTTACGATAATGGTATATACTTAGCATCAAATTGTCAGATAAACGCATCTTGTTTTGACTTCCCGAGACGTCGAAATTTCAAATATTTCTTATTTTTGCCGCAACATGATGACTTGTCTCATTTAAAAAACCAGCAACGGAGAGATTATTCACATCTCAACGGCCAAGTGCAAAAATCCAAAGAGACGAATGGACACAAATTTCCCAAATGAGCTACAAAAAACCACGAAAAACAAATGTCTCGTACTTTCCTCTCAACTCGTAGTACGTCGTGGCCTGGCCGACGGATATCTGCCTGTCCGGCCGCTCCAATAAATCAACCGCGTCGGTGCTATCGCCGGCAGACGCTCCACGACAAGACAGAGAAAGATGCTGCGCCTTATCTCTCGCCAAACTCCCCCCCCCCTCGCTTTTCTTTTCCTATCTCTGTTTTCATTACGTTTTTTAGGTATACACGCGCATCCGACATTTTTTCTCCTCGTTCGGTCTACATCAGTTTTGGATGGCGATTGAGCAACAAATTTTTTTTTTTTTCACCCCAATGTACGTGTAATACACATACTCGTGCACAGAGAAAGCAAAAAGGAAAAAAAATGTGTTTACAATTTTCGTGGCTCATCGTCCGAGATTGCGGGAGCGCGCGCGTGATTTACGATAGCGCTAAACTCGCCGAGTGACATAATATGGCACGCGGACACAAAAAAAAAAAAAAAGTGTGAGCGCGTTGTTTTTTTATCTGCGAATGTTAATCTGTCGCGCGATAAAAAAGCTCATAATGCGCGCAACGCGATATAGTTTATCACTCGGAAGCGCACTTTTTTTTCTCTCTCTCTCTCTCTCAAGAATTAAAAACCTCTAAATCACTTGATCGTACTATGCGAGGTATCCAGAAGAACACTGTGCACAATTGACATATTTACAATGGACACGTAATAACATTGTATACACGGCGCTTTATCGCAACTTCACGGTCCCCACCGTCTTTTCTTTCGCTCCCTATCGCCGCTTTCTCCTCTACTTTGTTTCCCACGTACACGCTCGCTCGATATCGGCGTCTCTTATCCGCGAGTTCAAGGAGCGCGAACCAGATGTACTTATATATACGCTCTCGAGACGGAGTCGCGATGTTTTCGCGCTAGGGATAATACTTCCCTCCGCCCGTCCCAAAGGGGCCTTTTTTTTCTTCTGTTGGTGCTGTATGTCGAGGAGCCAAAGGGAGATGAGACCGTAAGCCAAGATGCTGCGAGACCTTTCAAACTCCTATCTAACGGATAGGTCACTCCATAGATATACAGATACGTATACGCGCTCACGAGAGATATATTAATTCAAATTCCCTGCGTGTGTAATAATATTATGGGGTACACGCAATGAAGATTCTAAGCGCGTGCTCCACGTAGATAATATAACATGCAGGGGATAAAGATATGGAGAGAGCCTCGCGGTCCGCGTCGTCGGTAGCTGCACCTGCGAGATTCTATCTCCCTTTGGGTGTAAGCGCAGCGACAGTCTAGCCACACCGGCCGGGGCGATAAATCGAACGGCATTAATATACATCGGGCGCCTAATGGCCATTCCCTTGGCTACCTATACTCCATCCGCGTGCACCCATGTGCTTCCCATGCAGCCGCGTGGACGGAGATAAAAGGGGAGTCCCGGACGTTTCAATCGCTCGCTCGTAGTCTTGTTTTGTACCGCCCGTCAATGCGTCATTATTTACGAGATCGCGAGGTTGCTCGAGCCGTCCGGGATTCGGGTACGCGTGTAGAATATAAATATTGGGAGAGGCTCGCCGTGAGTGTTTGCTCGTATACGTACAATTGATAGATGATCTGCGCCGAGTGAGTGACACTGGAAGCTAGCAGTATAGATTTGCTTCGAAATTTCGAAAAATGTCCCGACAAGGGATCGTCATCCAAGTGAGTGAAACTCATTCAAAGCTTTATGGTTTTTTTTTTTTTTTTTAATTAGACGTTAATACATAACTAAGAGAGTTGATTGATTGACAAAAAAGTGAAAACTTTACAACATTCTAAAGTTTGCTCCGATTGTCGTCTTCTACCCCGTTTCCGTCGGTTTATCATTGATCTCGAGCACTGGATGATCAAACACAAGAAACATTTTGCAACTACAATGTACCGATGGAAGTGATTAAAATTGAAATCAAACTATGCTTGGGTTTACACAGCGCATGCACATTATTTACACTGTATTTACAGTGCTGCTGACACGATTAGCCTTTGGTCGTGCCCACTTAGATCTTGAAGAGGTTGTACTCCGAAGGTATACGAGAAAAATTCAAACCTCACTGGTACACTGTTACTCAACGATGTTTGCGACGGTTTTCATACACGTACAAAAGAAAAGAGCACACGAGCTCTTGGCTGACAATAATAAATCTCCCGTTTTCTCGGGTACACACACGTATGGTAAAATGCGCTTTTTAAAAAATTTCCCGCGACTTGGGAAAGAAAATCTTTGATACACGCTACTGTGGGAAACATTATTGCTCACGAGTTAGTAACTATATATATGCACTTTCACACAACCGCCACTGCACTTTGAGCGGTGCGTGTGCCTCCGTTCTCTTTATTCTTACGGTTCAAAATGTTGAAAAAAAAAAATTCCCATTTTCCATTAGCACGGAGCCACCCAACTGCGGAATGAAACCAATAGTGCGCGTGTGATTCTAAAAAATACCGACCAATGTCGGCTAAAGTTTCGATGAAAAACACTCGCTTCCATCAATGTTCTTTTTTCTTTAAACTCGTAAAAAAGAAAAAAATAAAAAAAAATAAATAAAAAAAAGCCACACAAAACGGTAAACGGGCCATAACGAGACACATTACCGGCAATTATAACCGCCTCTAATTGCAATCTCCCCCCTACTCCTCCTCCTGTTTTCATTTCCTCGGCACACGCTTTGTGTTGTATAAATACGAAATTACACCGGCCGCAATAGTTATTATCATCGTCCGTGGGGGCACCGGAGGAAACGTCAATTACGTATCGCATAATCAACCATTTTATTTTTTCCCCCCCTCCTTTGCGCTATCGCCCGTCGAATCTTCCGAACAAAAAAAGCTAAGCAGCCATAAACGCTGCCCCAACTGATGAATAAAACAAACAAACAAACAATCCTCCATACGTATAGTACACGTATTAATACAAGCTTACCCAGTGCATGCCGGTTGTAGGAGGGGCGCGCTCCTCATAAACTCCCATCAGGGTGGCTTGTTGTTGTTGGTGGTGCTGCTGGTTAGCAGCTGTGAGGCCGCAACTGCTGCTCCGAGATCCCGAGGACGCGGAGGACGAGGGCGAGCACGAGGTCGCGGAGGAACGAGACGACAGGGGATGATGGGAGGCCGCGCCCGGTGGCGTGACACCACCGGTGGCACCTGCGAGCACACCGCCGACGCTACTTTGACTGACGGACGCCAGGAAAGCTGGTGGTGGGGCCTCTCTCTGCTGGACACGTATACGCACACCCTAACCGAGCTCGAGCTCCCTTTTTTCTTTTTTTTTTTTTTTTTTNTGTCGTTGTTTTCCGACTGATTTTCTATCTTATCCTTTTTCTGCTTCTCACGCTCTATCGCAACAACCACCAGCACATGTCCACGCGCACAACACACCCCTACGTCAAATTGCCCCGCACCCACGGCTCCTCCTCATCTGCTCCTTTTTTATTTGGCTCTTTGCAAAAACTGAGCAGCTTCTCGTCCTTGACTTCTCATGAAGGCTTTGCAGGTGCGTCGCTTCCGACGGTTGTCACAGCACACACACGTACACCGGCATCCGTCGCGCGTACAATCGCACGTTTACCGATCAACCCTCAAGTGTACCTTTTTAATCGAGGTCCATGTGCGTGGAACTGATACTCGTATCTCGTGTGTCCCCGGCACTTGGTCAATAATTCTTGTCATATAGACGGCGCACAACAATCGATAACAACACCTACTACTGTCGGCCCTCCTCCGTATACACCACAAGATATATATATGTCTGTCACTGAATAACACGGCGTACAAAGATTAATTTTTTTTTTTTTCCTCCCCCAACGTAGGGGTGTATTGGGTTATCGCGGTGGACCGTGTGGGCGCGTATATGCGTGGGATCTCGAAAGGATTTACGGAAATGGAGAGAGAGAGAGAGAGAGAGAGAGAGAGTGACTGTCAGGGAGAGTGGAGAAAAAAAAGGAGAAAAAGAGAAAGATGGTTGGAGAGAGGCACACCGAGCCCCGGTGGAACCGTGAGGCGTAGTGAGGCCCTGCGCGGCTCGCGGAGCCGACTCGGAGTTGCTCGCCACCACCAGCGCCTCCCCGCGGTCGTTTCTCTCGGGCAGCTGAGATAGTGTGGAACCCCCTCCCCGGGGGTGGGAGAGACGCACACACGGATCTCTCCAGAGCACGCCCCCGAGGACCCCCCCCACTCGCCCGCGAGGCTCCGCCTAGTCGCGGACTGCCCCTTGCGGGGCCGTGTGTTGTTATACCTGACGCTTCTCTCCCCCCCCTACCACCACCATCGAGACCGTGTGCGCGCAAGCTGTCGCGCTATACTTTTTTACTGTGTGTGTGTACGTATGAGGCGCCAGACACTATACGGAGGGTAGGGGTGAATAAAAAGAAAAGGGTGGTAGGGATACATGTGTACCAACGTGTATTTGCGAGCTAATGCGGGGATGAAGAATACCTAGCTGGGGTGTATGGACGAAAAAAATGCAAGTACAAAAGCAAGGGGTGTGCGCTAACGGACGTGTGTATAATATATGTATACCTACACACATGTGTTAGTTTATTTGTGTTAATTAATGTTAAAAATTGTGTTTGTGTTTAGTTGGCGCGTAAATTCCATCATTGTTAAGTATCACGATTGTGTGATTACATTTTGTTATGTTATCGTCGCAGTTAACGACACTTTCGTCAAACAAGTTTGCATCTGCACTTTGCTAGCTTAGCTAGAATAATCATAGTTAATAGAGATTGTCGTAGCTTTTACGCCTATTATCATACAATTTGTCAGTTATATTGTGTTATTTGCGGCTGATAATTAATAGAGTCCCCAATTATCCGGTAAGTCCTATTCTGGTATCAGATGGCGCCAATACACTTGTACGCAGCGGGTACATATATGTAACATCCGTCATTAGTCAAATTTTAAATACACATGTTCATTGGCTTGGACACGTACGAGAATAAATAGTATTGTAAATTTGGCTCGGGAATGTTATTTCTTGTCGAGAGATAATATTACTTTGGATTTTTAAAATAAAGTAACAATTTTACGTTGATAACGATTATAAGAGGAGAGGTGAGAAAAATAAACATATTTTCATGTATTTAAGGTACAAATTACTAATAAAAAAAAAATCAAAGACATCGAAGCGAAAAAAACAGGTCAACATCCACCTCATCCACGAGAATTTTAAAGTGATTTAATTGTTTTGTTTGCGTGGGTGAAGAGAGAATATTTCAAGAACAAAGTCGTACAAAAAAAAACATCTCTGCATTACGGAGTATACACATTTTTGTTCAGCTTGAATTACAAGAATGTGTTGTCATTTATGATAAATCCTAATTTCAATTGCTTATTGTTTCTGATTACAATTTTAAGTGAAACGTCTAGCGCGTGGGAGTTGGCTTTGTGTAAATTCCCCGAATGTTACGAACGGACGGTACTCGCTTACCTATATATACTAAGCGAACCAAAATACCTATGCACTTACGTTGGCGATTGATTTAGTTTCCAGTTGAGATTTCGTTTAATTTATGAAAAACCTTTGCAAAAGTAAGACACATTTTCCCGACACTCCAGTTCCGTCGCTCGGAAAAACACCGAGGCCCCCCCCCCCAACCCAACTGAAAACAAATGCCATGAAACTCCGATTCACCAATGACCAGCGGAGCATTGCATAATTTGCTTATCAGCCCGAAAATAAACAAACAAAACGAAAAATGAAAAAAACGACGGAAAGAAAGAAAAAAGGTGTATCCAAGCCTCGTGGCTTTCCGAGAACCGAAGATAAGAACGGAAAGAAGAAGGAGGGAGGAAAAAAAAAAAGAAAAAAAAAAAAAAGTCGACACTCGGAGAAAGAGAGCAAGAAAGAGAGACGGAAGACTCGAGACCGCAGAAAGCGTGGCCGGATGTCGGCTGTCCGCATGAGTGGCCGCAGAGCCGATACCCCGAGGAGATCGCTATACACGCTGCGTCCTCGAGAAAGAGGTGAAGGATGTATATATATATAAGCAAAGGGCCCCGAGGAGGAAGAGATGTATTTACTCTGCAGCTTCTTTGCTGCGGTGTCTCCTCCGCTGCATTATTCGCTAATACCGCAATTCATCTCGTCCGGAGCTGTCTCGCCTGCCCGTACACACTCGCACAACGCTCGGCCAGCGGCTTTCCCTACCCTTTGGAAAAAAAAAAAAAAAAAGAAAAAAAAACTTGTTTGCACTAGAGCGAAAACGCCGGGGCTCTTTTTGCACCTCTCCCGCCGATGTCCCTTTTTTTTCTCGTGCCCTCTGTTACTCTCGGCTGGACAGTGCATTTTATCCATGCATGGATCTATGCTGTTGTGTACTTTCGCTCGGGCAACTGGAGCAAAGTGGCAAGAGTACTTTGATCGGAGGTAACGAAGCGCCCACAGTACCGATGAATATAACGTATGGATGTAGCGATAAATAACGCGTCGCAACTTGGAGAGAAAAGCCCTCGTGGTCGATCGTGGGCAGGTATTCGGGGGTTTTCACGAGTAATAAGCACCTCGGGGAAAACAGCTGAGAGCAGCGGGAAACAAACAAAAAAAAAAAAAAAGCAACTCTCGAGAAGTGGTCGGTACATAATAGCGAGGGTGCGTGCTCCTCCGTATATATATATATGCGTATTGTCATGCCGGACAAGAATTACGAGCTTACATGGGTACACGGGATATCGACAATGGGCTGCTGGACTGTGGCAGCAGCTGTCCCTCTCCACCGCCCTTAAACGCCTTCTCTAATTCTTTTTCAATTGGGGCCTCGGACGTGCTCCTCTCTCTCTCCCCTTTGCCCTCGTTTGGGAATCTATTATGCTGCATACGCGTGCACGCACGGCGCGGTCGGCGTGAAAAAAATGCTTTTCGAGCTCTGCCGGTCATCGAGAAGGTATACATGTATGTTTAGTAAATATATAGCTCATGTGCTTGGTAAATACTGCCCTCGGGGTGGACGAGGCGAGTAGACCGACTTTTCGAGCGAGTGTGACAAGACCGATTGCGAGGGTTCTCTCCCTTGATGGGGCAGTGATTGATTTCTAACGCTATGGTGATTAAACTTTGGAAAGTTATTTAAAGTAAAAAAAACAAAAAAAAACAAAAAAAAAAAAAAAAAACGATTAGTTCAATCATATAACTTGAAGAAAAAAAGTTTAAAGATGTCACCTAGCGTTAAATTGAATAGTACGCAAGGTATTTATCAACTGGTTGAAACTATGTCACTTAGTTGCGATGATAAATCGGTAAAACTTTTGATATGTATATAATATTTACCATAAAACTCCAGAGTTGATTATCATCCATCCTCGATCAATCACCGACGGACTAAACGACTGGTCTCTTTTTTTTTTTTTTTTTTTTTTGTTTTGACACGAAGTTGACGACTCGAAGCACTGCAGCGTACTAAAATCTAAGAGGCACCGGTGAATCAGTAACCTTATATATATATTATGTACGCATGTACGTACACGCACGTATATACTCATTGAACTGACTCATCGTTACTTCAGTTTTTCGTCGGGCATGATAATGTGAAGAAAATCGAAAGCTAGATTACATCAACCTATATATGTGTGTGTGTGTGTGTGAGAGAGAGAGATATCGCTTGCACGGAGTCTATAGACTAACACCATTCAACCCAACGAGCGTTGACCAAACGTTTTTCTTCAATTTATCGCGGCAAAGATCTCGACAACTTTTTAGCTTCCCTCCAAGTGAGCGCATTCTACCGCCTCCCCCTGCCCACGAAAAAAAAAAAAAAATATGGGCGAGGGAGGTGTACTTTTCTGCGCTACATTTCACAGCTCCTCTCGAGGATGCGTCCCGCCTCCGATCGGCAGGATTTTCGCAGCCCATTCCCGCCGTAGTGTAGGTCGTGAGTGAATGGAGGAGAATAAGCCACAAAAAAAGAAGCGGAAGAGGCAAAGGAGGAGGAAGGAAGCGGGGCACAGTGGGATTAACCCGAGGTGTCCCGCGGCGCGCTTCGGACTTGACCGCTGCAGAGCCCGTGTGCGTGTGGACGCGTAAATCCAAGTCGCGAGAGATTTTTCCAAGGCGCAACAAAGTCCCCCGGCGAGGGGGGGAGGCCATCCGGACACTCGATGCCTCACGCTTTCATGTATATACAATGCAGGGGACGAGTGCTCGTTGTGCCCCGGAAGACAAAGCACCGCGGCAGAGAAAGAGGTTCGAATGGTCATTATGCTGCCGTCTCGTTTAGATGATGTCCGCACAATGCGCAAGCTTTCGAGGACCCTTTTTTTCCCGAGCATTTTGGAATTTAC